GGCTAGCGCAGATAGCCCTCGTGAAATTCAACACAAACAAACAGGAGAAATATTCATGCATGTCCTCAACTCCTGAGTTCCTCTTGTCTGATCGAATAGTAGGAGAACGAAGTCGCAAACCATGAATCCCCGAATTCTCAATCCGAGCATGCTTACTACTAGGCCAGCTCCTCTCGAAAGGAAAAAAAAATGGATATAGTATTAAATATAGCGTATTGTCAGAAGTGGCTTAACCTGAAAATCAGCGCTCATTTAATTCAGGCTATGAAGGCGGGATTGACAGAAGCGATACATATGCTCGAACGTATGATTACCCATATATCTAAAAATGATTATTAAACCAAAACGTAGAGGGGGGAGAGGATTCTAAATTATATTATTTCCAGACCTCTATTGTAGCACATCAAAATTTTCACTTGCCTTAGAGTCGTTAAGTTTATGTCGTGAAAGTTCGTTCAAATATTTCACACTTATAATCTTGATTTTGTAGTGAACGATAATACTCTCGCTTTGCTATGATCTTGATTAATGATCCATTAAGAGTTTTAAGTCTGACTTCAAGCTTATGAAAATATTTCTCGAGGTTGACGATTTCTCTTTCATTACCTATCATAATTTTTTCTAATATTCTACCTATTTCGTTTCTTTTCAGTGTTTCTCTCGTAAGTCTGAGGGCTTATAATGCTTAAAATCAGGTTTCGATACCCACGATGGGCAGTGCACAAATATACCATTGTGTAGCTTTGTGCTTAACGACAAAATAAACAACTATGAAAACAAACTTATGCTTGAATTAAATACGAATTTCAAATACATTAAGAAAAATTCACCTTGCATTTCTCAACGACTATAAAAAAATCAGAATTGATAATTAGTAGTTAGCGTGACAGGCTGGGGATTTGAAGGTCTAAGGTATGGGCCCATGCTATGATGTTGAACATGCTCTGCACTTTCAGTCCTGTTATTCATATAAGTGGCGGGTGCTCTTGACTGGTTGTCCTACCTCTGGTCAGCAGTTCAAAGTTAGGGCCGGCATGCTTGAACTTTTAGAGATCTTTCAACCTATTTGTCGCATAACGTGTGTTTTATGTTGAAAATGCTGAAACCCAAATGCCTTACTGTATTTGTTTATTCAAGTGCTTATTAGGTGTTAATAGAAAGAATCAAACCCCGAATTTTAGCGATATAGACCTTCAAGCTTAACAGAGACAAATCAGATAATGCAACTTACAAATACATGTAAACAAACACGTTCCTCGTGAAGGTTTTAAAAATGGTAATTCTATACCAAAATATTAGTATTAATGTTTTGTACTTGGTTGAACCAGACACTGCAGAAAATATCAACAAAATAAAAACAAAGAATTTTCTTAACTGCAATGGTCACTGCAGTAAGTGTTTGTAGAATACTTCAAGAGAGTAAATTAATTCCATCTTATCATAATACGACACGATGTAGATTTTATAAGGCACAATTAGAAAAAATAAACAAATGGTATTTTTGTTTTCGAACGAAATGTCTAAGAATATGTATAAGCTAATTTACTTGAAGATGAAAGTGGCACAATAGGCTATCTGCGTTTTGTTTACCTGAAGACCAAAGTCCCGAATTTTAGTGTTCCCAAGATTACCGACAAGGATAGAACTAAGACATTAAACTAAAAAATAACAGCTTTGTTTATTGTGCAATACAGACGTTTAAGTTTTTCCGTGTTTTATTTTCAGTGCAGTAAATCGTATAGTTGGGCTTTCAGTTCGGTCTGTTAATGTGTTATCGATCTTGTGTATTAAAAATGCTATAGATGAAAAGAAAACAACTCTCACGTAGAAATCAAAATCACTTTTGACGTCAATTGGCCTCAGCAAATCAAACCAAGAAAAGTCTGTATACGTTCTGCTCATGCGTGTACAGAAAAACTCATAAAATTCGCACACATTATCAGAGAGAGTCTATTTCTAATTAAAACTCCCAAAAGAGTGTACATTTATATCTTAAAGTACCAACACTATGAAACCTCTAGAAATTATGAATTTATTCACACAGATAGCTTTGTTTTTAATGCAGTTTGTAATATCGAGATCGATTAGGGTTCAAAACGCTACGTTTAATTTAGTATTAAGAAATTCTTCATTGTCCGTAGAATCCCGGATGGACCAGAGAATTATAAAGTCCCCTATGGCTTGTGCACAGCTCTGTCTCACTAATCCCCAGTGTGAGGCTTTTTCCTTGGATCCATCATTAATATCATCAACAAGCTGCGAAACTTTCAGTTTCAGTATCAACAGTACCTTGGAAGAAGTTCCCGGATGGAATTTGTACACCATATATGAGCCAAAAATGCAAGTACGTGTATGTTATTTGACGTGGTTAATAAGTAGAATTTTATTCTTTGTTGACGTAAACAACAACAAAACGAATGAACGAAACATTAGATGACATCGACTTAACCGGTTTTTTTACAGTTTTTACTTGCATTGGTTTCTGTTTTTTCTTTATTTTTTAGTTGTATGATTTTTGTGTTTAATTTGAATTTTTTTGAACACATTGAAATATACATTTTTGATAAAGTGTGTATTATAACGACTAATATTCTGACCTACAAAGTTCTTAATAGGTAATTTATGTAGAAAACATGATATTTTCGGCGAGCATAAAACTTTAGGGTAAATAACTCATCGTTCATCTTTTGCCTTGTTACTGTATACGATAATAATGGTATTTGTCACTTTGTATGCATGTTACCTTAAATGCTCGCAACCCAGGAACACCTAGATAAAACAGAACACACGAACTAACTGATAGTATACATTCAGAGGTAAGATGCCGCCAGAAAGCGTGAAGATCTTGGAAATGGGTGTAAAGGTATGTGTATATATTTTAACACGACAATAAGCAATTCTCCACATCTAAGTCCATACAAAGCTCTACTGGATGAAAATATCTTGTCATCGATCTAGGTGAACTAATGAGAGCTGGAATTTCTTGAAGCTGCTCATGGTATTGGTTTTTTAATATTTACGAAATGGAAAAAAATTGAAATAAGTTAAAGAAAAGAAAGATAAAAGTATTTTGAAATAATAGTTTTAATATTCTATTGAGAAGTATTGTACAGTACTACGTAAATCATTATGATCAATTGACCGCTTCGACTGCAGGTGGCTTATAGCTGGTAAGTAGTAATTATTCATTTGGTCTCTTACGATCTATATAAACTGTTATATAAAAAATGGATATTCGAACCCAACAACTCTATATGTAGTTTAAGTGTCCTGGCTGGATGTAAACTGAAATCTAATTTCTGAATTTCGACTCCCAGTTATTCGATGACAACGAGATGATTCTTATCGCATAATATTTAGTTTATATATAAGTTTAAGTTATTCAACATCACAGTTTCATGCGGAACACAGAAAAATCAGTTTTGAATATAATAAATGTGGTGACAGCAGTTAAGCACTACCGGAGTTAAATGTAACTATTAGATGTCGTATTGGAATGGTACTTTTCAATAGCAAGATGGAGAAAATATGTAGAATTTTGTGTAAGGAACGTTATCATGGGAAATCAATCGATATTCAAAAGAATAAAAGTTTTCCACTCTTGACTTAACTTTTAAATTTTAATAATATACCCTTTCTTGGAGTGTCTAACTAGCATCAAAAAGAATATCTTAAAACATACATAAACTAAGTACAAGAGATCTTTAAAAACAATTTGTTGAACTAGCAGCGTTAGTATAGTATTGTCATTTTTTTTTGGTAATATAAGAGCAATTTATATAAATAAGACTGAGGTTACACGTGCTGAGTACTTTGATGGTTTAAGTTAATTACACAAGACACATGAGGTAATCGACGTGGAAAAATAGAATTGCTGAATATTCCCTATCAAGTAATCATACATTTCAAAGCATTTTGAGGGCAATGCTAATTGTTATTTGTGTGTTCAAATATCTGTCTTTAATTTTACAAAATACCATTAACTGGAGGTTGTTGTTGGTGTTTTGTACTGCGTATTTAAGGTTATATGGGTTTTAACTTCAAGGTTAGTGAGATAGTTCAGCGTGGTGAAGAAGACCAGAGGAATGATGAAGTATTTGGCAGTCGATACGTATATGAAATTAACATTTCAAAAGACAGTTGCTTCCCTTAAATCGGACAATTCAATCGGACATTGATCCTCGATAATTTAAAATAAACCACTTTGTATTCCTAAAAACCATTCATTTCCTGTACAGTCTCACATTTTAAGAACTTTGCAAGAACCATAAGCGATTGCCTTGAGACATTTGATTATATTCTTTTTCACAAACTGTTATTAAAGACCCACATGAGTAGAGATTAGCTTAGAACAAAAAACATAGATAGGTTAAAGTCAGTGCTTATTTTATTATACAAGTTAATATTTTAGTTTAAGATACGAAGAAGTTTTTGGTTCATTCAAGCATTGTACCCGAATATCTGATAACAATGTTCAGCACTCTTGATTACAATATACCAGTTCTAGTAATTTATACATATAACCAACTCTGATACTAGGTAGTAATATCACTGTGGTTGTGACTGTAGTTTCAAATATTCCTTTCCAAGCTCAAACTAATCCACTAGGAACAAAGAAACATAGAAAAAAAATAGCTATTAATTGAAATTGAATTAAACGAAATGTCACAATCTGCGAGAAAATGATGCAAATGCCATGTATGAAAATGCATGTTGTATGACAGTAAAAGGCCAATAAAACTAAATTATTAGAACATAAGGCAAGTGACCTTATTATACATATAATATTTTGATAGCAATAAGTCTCAAAGAATAAAGTGATGAAAATTACTATCAGCTTTATTTTCATGTAGCTTCTCACCTATTAGCGATTAAAGGATCACGACTAGTCAGCTTAAGCATTATACACTATTATACTTACTAGACTTATATTGAAAGTCTTTTGTCTGTTAATTAAAGAATCACAATTGATCAACTTAGGCATTATAGACTCTTAGACGTACTACTCTTAGATTATTGATAATGTACAAACCTTTCAAAGTCAGTTTTGTCTGTTGATTAAAGGATCACGATTGTTTAGCTTAATAGTTATACACTCTTAGATTTACTACACTTAGATTATTGTTAATGCAGTATTGAATTCAGACCTTTTCATCGGGGAGGGGTGAAATTGGGGGGGGAATGAATTCAAATTCGACAAAATGGAAAATACTGTATTATAATTAAAATACTTGACTCCACAAATTTACAATGATATATTTTATTATTATTGGTTATCATATTTAAATGTAATTGTTATGAATTTGCATAAAAAGAAAAAAGTACCGAAAATACGTTTAGATGGTTCACTGCAACTACTCTTAGAGAAAACGTGCATATAAGTCGATAACCCTTGACAACAAGGTATCTGAAAGTACATTAGGCCCCTCGATGCTAATCTTCATGCAGCTTTGACGCATGTCTTG